CCCCAAAACCCCAAAACCCCAAAACCCCATTATGCCTCAGATATATTGAAGCTTCAATATTAATAAAATGGATCATGAATAACAAAACTGTCTAATTAAGGGAGAATGCCTAGATGAAGCTGCTGGAGATCTAGTAACAGGTCAAAAACTGATCAAATCGATAGTCTTAGCATTGAAGATTCTCAGATTATCCCAGTGAAAGACAATGATGATAGAGAAAATTCCGAAGTTAATAGAGTAAAGGCTCTGATCTTGATATCTATTGTAGCTTTTTATGTAATGATAACAATCAGCTTCTAGGAATATGGTAATCTCGTAAATGAAAATGCTAACAAATTTAGTTATGCCTCGCTTAGAGGAACTATTCTATTGACTTTCGCAAGTCTTGACATGATATACAGAAAAGTCGGCTTGCCTCGAATCCCAAAGAAGATAGATATATTTCAGTTTTATTTAAATTCTTGGCTGGTTCAGTTGAAACTCCATTCTACTTCTATATGAACCCTTTGATAACAGCAATTTTAACTTATTTTATATTGAAGGAGACCCGGATTTGTAGAGACATCCTTTACCTCATTGGTACGTTTGGGGGAATAATCGTAATCAACTTGGCAAGAATCGGAGAGAAAGGTGTCAGCGACAGTGAAAATAATTACTTGAAAGGATTATTACTCACATTAGTCGGCCTCATCTTCAGGTCAAGTGCTCCAGTGGCTATTAAGCACATATCTAAGTATGTCCATTCCCTCTGTTCTCCTTTTTACTTCTCATTAAGGATGTTTAGTCATGCAGTGCTTCTTCTGATATTTTGAAGAGAATATTTATATTTTGAGCATTATGATTTGAAGACAGTACTGCTGTTCTCTGAGAGTAGCATTGCAAATTATGGTGCTCAAACAGCATCTAGTGCTGCGTATAGTTATGAGAAAGCAACAGTTCTTGCTCCAGTTTCTTACGTTATTACTTGTGGCTTACTTCTGATAGACTGATTCTTGTTTGGATATGATTTTAACCTTGTATTCATAATTCAATAATCTATTCCTTCTCAGGGGTTTTGGGGTTTTGGGGTTTTGGGG